AATCAAGTGTCGTACAAAGCAAAATATATGGAAAAAAAAGGGAGGTGGGGAGGAGAGATTGGATAGGTAAATCCGCCACAACTAGCGAACAAATCAAGCTCTTGTCAGAGAATTTACGACCTTCCGCAATAAAATTGAACCTGCGATTAACACAAACTGACCAACCTAAAAAAACAGTTATAAAATCTTGTGCAATTTCCTTCCACGAACAAAGGTAAGAAGAGGTGATACTATGAGACTGTGTAACACTCCGTACGACGTACGGGGGGTTTATCGTAAGGTCGTACGTACGGCCGTATGAACGGCCGTACGGCCGTACATACAGCCCCGTACGAAAAAAAAAAAAAAAAAAAAAAAAAAACAGTTTAGTTTTTTTATCTCAAATTTGGTAACGAATTTAATATGACCCTGAGGCAAAAGTGTTTCAGTTTATTTTTCTGCATAACATTTTTGTTTTTCAGAATTTTTTTTTTTTTTTTTTTTTTTTTTTTTTTCGTACGTATGGCCGGTACGACCACATGAGCCGTACGTACGGCCCGTATTCGTATGGGGGTCTACACAGCTATGAAAACTTATGAAGACTATCAACCTTCAGACCGTGTAGCTGACTCAAGTACCAATTAAAAGCTATATACGGTCAAAAGCACCTTGGTACAAAAATTTCCAACAGACCACCGTATTTTGCCTTGTCATCTTGGAGAAAAGGGAGGAAGATGGAGGGGATGTGGAGTAAAAAAAACGGAGATCATTCTAGTCTAGAGCTTTCTTAATTTTCTTTCCTTTCTTTTTTTTATTTTATTAAAAAATAAATTGATTTTTTTTGAAGAGACGAAAGTTTTCACAAGGGTTTTCGTCAAGACCGGGGGGCATACATTTTGGTAGGAGCCACCATCTGAGTGTTATGCAACACCCTCAAGGTAGGATATTACCCTGCCTTAGACTAAAAACAAATCTCAGCATCTAAACCAATAACATAAAAATTTTCAAAAATTAAATACTTATTCTTAGTTTTTAATTTTCATTTCATCTTAAAAAATGTGTTTTCACTTTTAAAATTTTTCTTCCTAATTGAAAACTTTCCTTCTTAGAATGGTGTAATCCTTCTAATTTGAACTTCATGCTAGAAATAAAATAAAATTCATAATGAGTTTGTGAAATATTTAAATTGGGTTGTTAATCTATAATACTCTATATATAGATTCTCAGTTATAAATAGGTCAATCCAATATAAGTTATACGATTATTTTTTTACCAAAATTAAAACTTAATTAAGATATTTCATAAACTCTTCCAGACTTCCATTCCATCTTCAACAATTCAATATAGCAAGAAGGGGAAACTCATTTTTAAACAGAAACTTGTCAAGTAAAATAATAAATTTTAAAGTTCGACGAACAATTAAATGATAATTAGATATATGAATTTTTTGTTTTACTTGAAATTTTTTCTTCGAAGAATGGGGTATCCCTTCTATCTTAAAGTGCATGTTAGAGATGAAATGAAAGTCAAACTCAGTTCATAAAATATTTTATATGGACTGTCATGATATATATGAATTTTCAATCATAAATAAACATGTTATTCATCAAAATAGTACATTATTTTCTAAATAGTACTTTTGTCGTTCGAGAAACTCGAAAGGTATACACAGCTGACGAAAGAAGATGCTCATTGTACATTCATACACGACGATAAGAGTCCCTGTTCAACGGATAAATCCTCAACACATTTAGTTTGTTTCAAGACGAAAAGTTCAATTACTGAAGTCGGATACATCCTTACTAAACAGACACACATTCAGACAGTCAATATGAACGTAGCATATCGAAGGTTTCGCCTTGTGAGGGACACATATGAGTGACCCAAAAAAAGTCTTCGTTGAGGCTTTAAAGGGTGCATGGGAGTGACAAGAATAACTCATTTTTGAAGTCTAATTGAATACAAGCAAGATGAGTAGGATACATCCGAATCACATGTTTCGATATCCATAGTACACAAGTCGGCAAGTTTTATAGTAAAACTGGGATATATCCGAATCAAATATTTCATCATTCGAATGGAGAAAATCCGTTATGTTATCAATCGTGCGTCATCCATTAAATATCCTTCACTCAATCAAAAGGTTGAACTTATGATCATAGCCCAATATGTTATCATTCCAAGAAGCAATTATAGCTTACCAGATATTTCTTAAAATAAAAGGGTGTCGGACGGAGTGAAGTGGTGGGCAGCATTATGTAGAGATGTTATCATTTGCCGCTTACCGAGTTCGCCCTTGCAACCATGAACTTGTAACATCCCTACCCAATGCTGCCCACCACTCTGCCAATGTCCTCGCCGAGATCAAATGATGTATGTTAACAAAAAAAAGTGCACCCTCGAGAACCCCTTAAGAACTCTAGTAACCATCAGTCTTAAATTTCAACTCGATGGCGGATGCATGTACATTATCACTTTACCAAACATTTCTCAAAACAAACGGGCACCATACGGAGTGAAGTGGTGGGGAGCATATTATGTAGAGACGTTATCATCTGAGGATTGGGCATTGGAGAAGGCTCAAACGAATGCGTAGGATACATCCAAATCAAACCGTGTACAGATTATCAGTTGCTGAAATGACCAAGGACCTTATATTTATTTTGAAAGATCTCACTGAATTTTGAAGACGTTTGACAACTCATGAGAATCAGATTGAAAAGCGAAGACAAATTAACCATTGTCGAGACAAATGAGAAATACGCCGTAAAAACAGATAACAGTTATGTGGTCCCAATACTGTGAATTTGTGACAGTTACCTCAAAAGTTTCCACTAACCAAAGAGTTGGCAAGGCTATCCAAATCAAGAACACCCACTATGCCATGAAATGTGAACTAATCCTTGCAAAACTGAGTCCCACGTTCTACACAACCAAACAGTTTGCAAGGCAAAGACGCAGGATGAATCAGAAACCCTCAGTACTTTACAGTGTGAAAATTTCAACTAATCGGACATTCTAACACAAAAATTTGAAAATGTCGAGATTTATCTTTGAAAAATACTACACTATGAAAACATTCACAAATCCGACATCCTGACGAAACTCTAAAAACGTAAGACTCGTTGCCAAAGTGTCCCGAACTTGAAATCTTCAAAAGAAGCCTCTTCGCAAAGCGTTCAGTACCGGTTCCCATGTTGAACCGTCAACAATGCAAGCCGAGATAGGACGTTGAGGCAGACATTCGAACCCCGTAATGAACACCGAGAACGTCTTCCCCTGCCATGACAATAGCACGTCTCAAGGACACAAGTACATCTGCAGCTTGCAGATAAGCTGCTGTAAAATCTCCCAGCATCAAGTTTCCCCCTTGACGCTCTTGTGTTTGCCTGTCGTAACAGTATCCTTATTCTCTGGGTCGGATGCATCCGAACCACGACGGACCATGAGCCAGGGTCGGCACTCGTGGCTTTCGTTAATACTTTACAATGTGCAAATTTCAACTAATCTGACGTTCGACCACAAAATTTGGGAAGTGTCGAGACTCGTCTCTCAAACTGCTGAAAAGTAAAAATAAACAAAAAATGACTGTACTACGGAAATATTCACAAATCCGACATAATGACACAAAACTCTAGAAACGTATGACTGGTCATGAAAAATCTTAAAAAGTTAAAGTCTTCAGAAGAAGCCTCTTCGCAGAGCGTTCACTATCGGTTCCCATGTCGAACCGTCCACCATGCAAGCCGTGATTGGAGGTTGAGGCAGACCTTCAAAATCCGTAATGGCAAACGAGAAACCCTCAATGTCACCCACTGCTCTGAGCACAGCACGTCTCAAGGCAAAAAGAACTTCTGAAGTATTTACATAAGCTCTTGTAAAATTTCCTCGCATCCAATTTTCCCCCCGACACTCATATATTCGCATGTCGAAAATGTTTTGATCAGTAAACCTTACCATGATGACAAACATTGTTCGTCCTCCCGCCTTGATCCTGTAGATTCTCTTATACTGAAAAGGAAACGCTCCTCCCTTTGTGATGATCGCCAGTTGTCCAGGGACTTTTATTTCAATGAAGCCCAAAATCTCATCCATGTTTTCGAAGTACGTCAGAAGAGGAAAGTCTGCACACTGCAAAAGACAAAAGTCACAATAAAAGCTTCACATCAAGGTCAGGATCGAAAGCCCGAGGTCATGCTACGACGACCAAAACGCCCCCACGGTCAATGTCGAAAATTGATGAAGAACTCTGGTTGATTTGAAGCGCGTAACCCAGAGAGCACAAATCATTAAGCGACGTATTCCATGGAGTCAAGTGTGGTGTGCACATGCCAGCATGGCAATACGTTCTCCGTACGAAAAGACGACAACCATCAAACTCTCGATGAGGTAGCCTCCTGCCCGCTCCCTTCTCCGGAAACGCTTTGTTTTTTAGCGCCAACGCCATTTTCTAGGGCGGGAGTTGCATTTTTTCTTACTTTCAGAGGAATCACAAGACCGGTGGTAAACTTTCTGGAGGACTCGCAGACATTCGTCCTCGTTTGTCTCATCCAAGAAAACGGAACGGTTGTGATATGTTGATACTCTTCCTCGTGCCCTGGATTTTTTTTCCATTTTTTTTTCCAGGCGTCGGCATACAATCCTCTTAGTATGGTCGTTTTTCCGATTGAAACCCAGTACTCCACTGTGAATTGGTTGTAAGTTGGCGAATCTTCGTTCTTGTCAACTTCACTGCGAACCTGGCCAACCCAAAAAGACACTCCTTGATGCATGTCCTCGCCTGATGGTTGCATAATGACAAAACTGTCGACATGCACACCTTCGAAAGGATCAAAGCTGGCCTTAGGCTTGTCCCTCTGAAGATCCATGAACAGAGGTTCTCGTTGTAATTCGGATGCATCCGAATCAGAGAAAGAACTCTTGTCTTCAACGACATGGGTGACCTTTTACCAGAATTCGGTGATGGGTGCCGAAGGCACCCAGTTGTCGATAATGTCCCCCGCGTGTTTGACATGATCTTCCCGAAACCGAAAAGCCCTATCTATTCTAGTCACCTCTTTGTCTCGGAAAGACATCCAAGTTTCTCTTTTTTTTTCATATACTTCCAAAAACCTCTTCACTCCCTCCAAACCGTTTTTGTAATCGTCGAGGAACGCCGGTTGGACCGGCATAGGATCGAAAGGTTACTGCGGACCAGCGTAACAACCGTTGTCTGTTTGTTTCAACCAGTAAAGAGAATCATCCTCCGGCAACCACTTAGCGTTTGTGCAATACTCTTTATAGGACATGGCGGGATTATCACCTATCATGTAGAATTTTAGCAAATGAGGCTTCGAAATCCCTGTCATGCGCTTTGAAACATGCGGGTAAATAAGACCTCTCCAGTCTGCTATCCTATCAAGAAACATACACCGCGGAGGAGTCTTATGAGACCGCTCTAGCAAAAGGAACAACTCATCCATTGTGTAGGCATCATTGTCCTTGAGTTTCTTGGAGAAAACACTAAACGTGGCATCGACGTCTGTGTGCGTGTGTCCAACTATCATAAAACCAATTTCTATTTCCTTGAAAATCCCGAACTCCACAAGAAGTGTTGCCAATGCGCAGATGAATCTATTCTTGTTTTCTTTGAAGCAGTTATCAGCTTGAATACGAAGAAACGGCGGTAGAGGTTTCCCACTGGATTGGATCTCCGTAAGAGTTCGCATTAAACACGTCGTCGTACTGCTGGGGCCGTGTGTGTAGTAAGGAAAATATGTGTAAACATATATAGACGGATCCCGACCATGGACCAGAGCGGCCGTGAGACCAGTCTTCATCATCCTCTCGTGGTGCAAGTCCTTCGAGAAGTTAGCCTGCCCTATATGCGGTATGGTAGTTTTCTTTTGATCCATGCCGTCGATAATGATGCACAGACACTCGGACTGCCGCAAGATGGAATCCATTTTGCAGGGGCTATGGTCTAGCATGTGGTTGACTTGCAGCTCTTAATGTTTCCGCATCCTATCTTTGGATTTCTTACGGTCCCTCTCGTACTTCGACTTAGCAATGCACTGCTTGTAGAATATACATTTTGCGCACTTCGTGAATGTGTTGGACATAGTTAGACTCACGTGCCAGAAGTGTTTACTCCACATAGCGTAGAGAGTCGACTTCGACACAACTTCCGAGTGGCACATCAAAAGATCAGAGCGCAATGATTCGTAAATTGCTCGTTTTGTGAATGTCGCAGGAATCCTACGGCGAGGACGACAAACTCCATTTTTCCAGACCATGTCATTCGGCATACTATCGGCGTGGTCGTCGATGAATCGTTTCAACAGTGCAAGCATCGTGACGACTTTTTCGGATGGTTTAGACAAGCCCGAGTGCCCATGCTCCCTAACGACAACACCGTTAGAGTACATCCTTTTGTAGACATAGAATGTGTTACGAGAAATGTCGAGAATGTTACAGTATGCGTGCACGCACACCACCTTCCATAACGGTGAAGTCATGTATGGTTTGCAACCACCACTTCGTCCTTTCTGTGAAACTTTTCGAGTAGAATGCCTCCCGCATCGGGCTGACATCTTCGGCTGTCAGTTCAACGCAACACATCTTATTACAACAGAGCATCCCTCGCACTGCCTGAAGTGACTGCATCCTGAGTTTGCCCATAGCTCGCGGATGCTGTGTCTTTTTGGTCGGTTCTCTGTTTGCCATAGAATAGGGTCTTCTTTTACCGGGCATAGGCGCCGACAAAGTGTACCGTATGTGGCGGTCCTCTTTGGAGAGACACCGTGAGCTTAGACTATCTCGTGAATAGCAGTACTCAGTGATTTCATCTGTGGACGGTCCTTGACTCTCCTAGCACTGCGGAGGGGTAGACGAGGAAACCCTATCACCCCCATCGACAACTCCCAAGGATGAACCAGCAGTAGTGCAGTTGTTCGCACTATACACATACTCCGTCCCACTATAACTACAGTCACCGACTCACCGAGATTCCCCTCAGGTATGGAGCTAGACATCCCAGCCTCGGTCATTTCAGAACATGCTGAAGAGACTCTGGATGTACAATCGACACTAAGAAACTGGCCCCCGCTTCCAGTGTTTATGTGGTCTTCGAGCACGTCACGACAGATGTACGAATGCACGGTGGAGGTGGACAACTGTGTTCTCTTCCGTCGATGCTGAGTGTTTGAGTCACGTGACCGTTTTCCAGAGGAAGCACATGGCTCGAGTCGAGAAGTACTATCGGCACTGCTCGGAACTCCAACGCCCATAACCAATCCCTTCCCAGCCAATTCCTGCCGAAAACGTAACGGAAGGCAAGCTGGCGTGGGAGGGAAGTCTTGATCGACCGTCGTCGTATCACACCATTGAAGCATGTGTTGAGAAGCGTTCCACTTTTCCCTGCGAGCAAAGCAACAGATGTTGACCCAAATCGCAGCCGAGACAGTTGTTGGACTTTGGCAATGATAAAGCGAGAGAGATGCGTCCGCTAGTTGGGAAGCACTACAGAGGGCAGTGCAACGAAACAAAAAGACAGTGCATAGCCAGCCTTGAACCGGACGACAAGCCTTGACCCGCACCGATTTTACATGTATGGTATAGAAATGGCGGGCCCGCAAGTATGTAACATATTTTAGAGTCGGATGAATCCGACGCAATGACGCAGGCAAATATCGTACTTGACATTAGACGTGCACAACCAGCCTTGAACCGGACTACAAGCCTTGCCCGTTTCAGATCAAACATGTTGTAGAAATTGCGGGTGCGCAAATATGTAACTGATTTTAGAGTCGGATGAATCCGATACAATGATGCAGGTAAATATTGGCAAGTTCGCATCGTCGCAGGTTCTTATGCCGATTGCATCCGAGACACTTAAAACCCGTGAGATTTAGACAATTGCAGCACACACCACAAGTGCGTCAAGCATGCAATGTCGAGCACCATCAACACGCATACAAACGACGGAAGTGATAACGAGTCTTCCGTGTCGTAAGAAATTGACAACCTTCCCGCAATGCCAAACAGTCGGCGATCTGTGCTGTGGGGTGGCAAAAACACTCTTAGGGAACCTCGCGGTCGTGTTCTGAAATTGTTGGCGTTGCACCAGATGCTCACCAAACAGTTTCGAATGCCGATGAATGGACAGATCATATGATGCCTTACGATAAAGCCGTGGTTGATAGTTGTCCCCCTTTCCCAGTCTGGATCTTTGAGAGCAGAGTTTCGCACTCCACCGTGCGATCCATATCGGAGAAGGGGACCTGCTACCCTGCCGCTGTTAACTGTAGTCATCATAAGGGAGTCTATGACGCGAGAACCCCAAAATGAGCAATCGCGGGGGAATATCGCGGCCACATGACGAACTTTTTGGCGTAGCACCAGATGCTCACCGACCAGTTCCGAATGTCGGTTGTATTGACACACCATATGATGTTTTACAAGCAAGCAGTGGTCGATTTCTGGCCCCCCTCTGCGGTGTGGATCTTTGAGAGCAGATTTTACGCAATCCACCGTTAGACCCACATCAGAGAGGCGGACCTGCCATCATGCCGCTGTTCACTGTAATTACCATGTGGGAGTCGACAACGCAATGACCCCACGAAGTTCCAATCAGGAAGTGTTTTTGTATACTGTGCAGGTGGTGATCATCGGCGCGTATGAAGCGTATTGAGGGAAAGAGGAGATTCTTCTAGCATTGGATGAGGGAAACAGACGACTTATTCGGTGACGAGAAGGACTAAGCTTGAGCGGCTTGCAACTTTGGATGCCAAGCACCATCAGCACGCAGACAGACGACGGAAGCGATCACGAGTCTTCCGCGTCGTAAGAAATTGACAACCTTCCCGCAGTGCCAAACAGTCGGCGGTCTGTGATTTCGAGTGGCAAAAACACTCTTAGGGAACCTCGCGGTCGTGTTCGAAAATTGTTGGCGTAGCACCAGATGCGCACCAAACAGTTTTGAATGCCGATCTAATGGACAGATCATATGATGCCTTATGATCAAGCATTGGTTGATAGCTGACCCCCTTTCCCGATCTGGATCTTTGAGAGCAGAGTTTCGCACTCCACCGTGAGATCCATATCGGAGAAGGGGACCTGCTACCCTGCCGCTGTTTAATGTAGTCATCATGAGGGAGTCCATGACGCGAGAACCCCGAAATGAGCAATCGCGGGGGAATATCGCGGATGCATGACGAACTTGTTGGCGTTGCACCAGATGCTCACCAATCAGTTCTGAATGTCGGTTGTATGGACACATCATATGATGTTTTAGAAGCAAGCAGTGGTCGATTGCTGGCCCCCCTCTGCAGTGCGGATCTTTGAGAGCAGATTTGACGCATTCCACCGTTAGACCCACATCGGAGAGGCGGACCTGCCATCATGCCGCTGTTCACTGTGATCATCATGTGGGAGTCAACAACGCAATGACCCCACGATGTTCCAATCGGGAAGTGTTTTTGTGTTCTGTGCAGGTGCTGATCATTCGGTGACGAGAAGGAACAAGCTCGGATGGATCCGAGACACAAGATAAGATGCCGGACAAGGTAGATTGCAGTGTCGGCCAGCGTCGCTCACGTCACTTTCGGCCTGGCAGCGGCTGTTGCACAGAGGTCCACGGACATGGCACCACATTTCGTGGCATCCAATCCGAAAACCATCGTCGCCGTCGCCGGGGGTGATCACGAGCCTTCGCCGTCGCGAGAAAATGACTTGACGATTTTGCAATCGGGACGTGCTATGTATTCTTCGCGACTGCTGCTCATCGGCCCGTATGCAGCGTATTGACGGAAAGAGGAGTTTCTTTCAGAAGGTGTCTACGGAAACAGACGACTTTTTCGGGGATGAGAATGAAAACGCTTGTGCAGCCGGCGACTTCGGATGAATCCGAGACACAAGATGCCATGCTGGACATGCATGATTGCAGCCTCGGCCGGCGTCGCTCACGTCACTTTCTGCGATGCAGCGACTATTGCACAGAGGGCCACGGACACGGGCACCACATTTCATGGCGTCCTATCTGAAAACCATCGCGGACAATTATGAGACATGGTAGTGCCAGGCGATCTAGAGGGCGGTGGACTGTTTGGAAGCCTCGCTTGCCTCGAAGGCGTGCAAGAAAATAAACTCGACGGTGTGCTGTTAGCGAGTCGTAGAGACCGAATCTGACGGGTTGTTGTTCGACCAAGGATCGTCCTTGGGGAAACCTTCATGCATCGCGTTCAACGTTGGGTGCACCCGCATGTGTCTGATTGATGATTCGGATGAATCCGAAACACTTATAGAGTGTCACCTTCGCAAGTCTGCATTGCTAGTTCAAATGCCACAACGCCGGTGTCAACTTTAGTCGTCATGAGGGAGTCTCCTTTTCCCTTAAACACAAGGTCTGACCACACGTCCGTATCTTGTGACATACGGGCTTTCCCGCGGACGAGGTCGTGAACGAAAGCCATACATAGCATTCATAGATGATCCATACACATGGATCTGCGGCTCGTCGACTGTTGCGTTCTCCGAAAACACGGACATGTATTTCATCCTGACAAACCCTCCTCGTCGTGCTAAGGAATTCCCTATACAATCACGTATTTCAAACACTCTTTTTTCCACATCATCCCACAATGACAGAAAAACTCTTACCTGACCTGATCTCACCAAGTCTGACCGCCCATCTACATCTGGGCGAGACATGACCGCCTTGAACTTGGATCCCTGAAGCACCATCTCGTTGTGTAACCCAAGCACAACTGCATCCATAAGTTTCCTACTTTTGCTTGAAGAAGCCACACATAGCACTTTGGAGAAAGGACATCCGTCATCCGTCAACCGCACACAACAGTACGACAGAGCTTGTGGAGAAGTCCCTGGGCAACGGGGTGGGTAGTGTTCCACGAACGAACAATGACGAGCGCAGTCCACAAACTCTTGCTTCTGCGAACTTCCCCAAGTTCGTGGCGAAGATGTGATATACTCGCAGTGGAGGCGACGTCTGAAGTTGGTAATGAAGTGGACCGGTTTACCCTTATCGTCCAGAGTCTTTCGACGGAGGACACCATCAGGCAGCGCAATGAGGCTCCCGAACTCCAACATGTTTGCAAACTTGTAATGGCTTGCCCGTGGGCAGGAACGCTCCATCGCCTTCCAGTCATTTTCGTTCCATTCGTCGAGATGCCGGTTCATGTAAGGGACGACGGTCGTCCATGGGTCGTCCTTGAAGTCGTCCTCGGTTGCATCGTCGATCCACGTTTGACCGTCATGATGCCGCAACGATCTCGCACAAGGTGGAAAGGGTTTCGCTAAGTGCATGTGTTTCTCGGGTGTCATGGCGATGCTTGTCGACGACATTAAACTCCCTGCACAACACGAACACATGGATAGACATACAAAAGAGGAGACCGTCGTAAACAATGTCGGTGAACGATAGTCTCCCCGACGAGGCCCACACTGAGGTGTAACGCCCAACACTTTTTTATCGGTGAAGCCCTTACAGAAGACCGTCAATTGGAAATCGTCCAAAAAAAAGATCTTTTCACATCGCATTGCAAAGCCCTTACAAAAGGTCATCAATCAGAAGTTCACCAAGCCAATGGAGTGTTTTCTAAAAGTCACGCAGGGAACCGTTCCAGAGAAGATGCAGGATTTCCTAAAATTATCAAAACCAACGCCGTAAAGCACATTGAGACGGGCAGAACAGTCGGACGACCCTCGTCGTCATGTGCAAAACATACGTTTCTGTATTTCTGGGGGAGGAACGGAACAGCACACCGACGCCGGACAGCCACATTACACCGTCTCATCTACAGAAGACGTTTTCGCACAGTCGACATGACAAGCACTTTTCGCAGAACAGAAGTGCAAGACAGAAGCTCATCCTAGCCTACCAATTCGTGGTTTAGATCAATCCGAGCAACGAACCTAGAAAGATAAACATTAAACGGGATGTCGTGCGACCATCCATGGCTCGGATTAATCCGAGCCACCGCCCAGCGACCTCGCCTCAGTCGGTGGGATGTGGCAGAAGGATGAGACACCCCTGGAATCGAAGACGAAGCCAGTAGGAAGCAACACGTCCTTTGCGATGTTTTGCATTACTGCCCCATGTGCAAGAAAACAACTCAGACAAAAGCCAAGAGTGCCATCCCCAGTTCATGAGACCCGCCTGCGCGATGTGGCAGACAAATCAGACTCTATTGCCGTCGAGCTATGAGGTTCGGATTAATCCGGACCACAACAAACGGTTTCAGGCAGGCGGTACCCAGACGTTTTGCGAAATGGTCACATTTCGCCGCTCGGAAGGAAAAATCATCAACAAATGCCATGAGTGCCCACCTTCGGTTATTGTATGTTGCATTCAGGACGCATGGCGTGTGCCGCCGTTTTCCTTTCCCGATGAGACATTCCATCACTGGGCGTGATACTCACCTCGGGACTCCCGATGCGATGACGGATGTGGTTCGGATTAATCCGAGCTACATCACACATTTAGGAGTGACGCAGAACTGATAAGTCCTGTGTGAATGTTGCATTAGCCAATGCGGAAGAAATAAACACTGATAAAAGCTACGACTGCCGTCCGTCAGTAGTCTGTGGTTGTGGTTCAGATTCATCCGAGCTACAAACGAAGGCAAAAGCAGATGGGGAGCTATCGGAGTCATGATTTGTGGAGATGTTTACTTTGAAAGCGATCCCCTGTGGCGTCGTTGTCCCTTCCATTGAGACATCGGAGGGATGCGGTTCCCGTTGAGACTTCCCACGAGTCGAGAGTTGTGGTTCGGATTCATCCGAACTACATCACACGTTCCGTAGTGAGGCGGAACAAAAACGTCCAGCCTGAGAATTGCGTAACCCCTCGTGGGAGACAAAGAACACCGACAAAAGTCATGAGTGGCGGGTTGTCATGGACAGGGGGTCGCCTCAAAACTCTTGATGGGGGGACGTTGCGTGAAAACAATGGGTCGGATGTAAGGGGGGCATAGTCATCCAACCACTGGCATCACAAATGACATCTACTATTGCCTTCATCCCGAGCTCGGATGAATCCGAACTCCATCCGGAACAAGTGGCACGAACAGCACTCTCTCACTCCCGCTGCAATCCCGTGCACGCCTCCCTAAGCTGCTCTGGAAAACGCGGCTGCAATTAATTAGAATTGAAATGTGATCGGCATGGATCGAGAGCTGATCGTTCCACGAGGTCATTGGTGCGTTCATTGAGCTCAGATTTCGAGACTGTAATCGTCGTGAGGATTGTCCACGTCAGAGTTCGCCCAAAACGAATCGTGGCGAGGGGACGGGCTGCCGCACGGGCGGCGGTGCTGTGACGTTTTCTTGTGTGCGCGATGGAACTTGTAAACGCTAGTTCCATATCCAAAATGTTGCCGATGCATGTCCGACGTCTCGCGCCCAGGTGCGTGGCGGTTCCTCATTGCTAGCTGCGTGTGCGAGAACGGGCGATGAGACAAGGAACGTTCAAGACAACAAGAAAAAGATCCTGATGTCGTCCACAACCGCGATGGACATGTTCAATCACCGAGTCGATCGGAACGAGCTCGAAGTTGGCCCTTGGCGGTGGGATGTCGAGGGATCGGCGGTGATCTGGGATGTTTCGGATTCGCCATGGGTATCCGTTGTGCGCAACGGGTCGTCGCTGAACATTGTGGATGGGTGGCTTTGCCACTGTTGGCTGTGCCTGCGACACGTGCGATTCCTGTTGGAGGTGAGCGTTTGTCGTGAGGCTTCCAGCTATCGGGGACATGGGATGATGTGATCAGCGCTGCGATAACACATCATCCGATAGATGTCATTACAGGAGATGGATAGACGGGATCTGAAAGTCGATCGACACGCGTTTTTTCAGATGACGTCTCCGGTGTTGAAGTCTATCGGATGATGTGTTATCGCAGCGGTGATCACATATCGCGATTTTGAGGACGCCAGGGAGCAACGGCGATGAAACTTCGTCCACGCGTTAGATGCGGTCGTCGGAGGCGTCCGACGATCTAGACTGCGAAAGCCTCAAGCCATTTCAAATTCCAGACGTCAGGCGCAAGATGGTGACGTCAGCGTGTGTCAGTGGAAGGGAACTTTCGTGGTTGTGAGTTGCGGACATCGTGGACTAATGATCGCACGCATGTCGACTCGTGCATGATTGACGGAACAGGCGGTGATGTAGAAGAAGACTCGCACGACCGACTGCATTGCGATCTCCTGAGTAGACTAGGCGGAAGACGACGCGCAAGCCAGGGTCCAAGAAAGTGTACCGACAAGCGATGTTGAGGACGCCAAGACTCGAGGGCGATGCGACTATCTCCATGCGTCAGATGTGGTCGTCGAAGGGCGCCAAGAATCGAGGGCGATGTTGAGGACGCCAACAACTGATGTTGAGGACGCCAACAAGCGATGTTGAGGACGCCAAGACTCGAGGGCGATGACTGTGAAAGCCGCAAGCCATTGCCCGTCATGTGCAAGATGATGACGTCGGCGTTTGTCACTTCATGGGGTCTTTCGTGGTTGTGATCGTTGGGCGTCGTGCGCTCAAGATCGTGCGCGCGTGATTGGCGGAGCAGATGGTGGCAGAGAACAAGACTTGCACGGTCGAAGGAGCGGAAGGGCAATGGGAAGAGGTGGGGGCTTGAAATGGTGAAGGGGCCGAGTAGGGGGCGTGGGCTTCTTACTGACCTACGAGTCGACAAACGCCTCCAGCCGACACAAGAAGAGCACAGCGCGAACGGGACGACGCGCAAGGTCTACAGTCGCGTGACGTTTTCGTTAGCGCCCCCCGCTGTCGACGATTGCTGGAAGAACGAGGGCCAGGATGCGCAAGGGGCCTGCGATATGATGCCGGCGACTTCGAGCGATGGCGGACGCGTCGCAAAGGCAGCACACGGAAGAAATGACACTTGCGAATGGGTGTGACAGCCACCCCCATGCGTTTGGTATCCGACAAGAGAACGGTGAGTGAAGTGAGTGGGGCTTGAGGGGCCCTTCAACTGCCCGCTGCAGGGTCAGTAACGGCAGACTGCCGCGTCGGGGGCTGTGACATCAGGCGGTCCCTTTTTTGATGGACTGTCCTCACGAAATCGCCCGATCCGAAACCGTCGCGGAAGGGCGTGCCGCGATTTCGAGAGTACTGGCCTTTTTTCACCGTGCTATCGACGGTTCCAACGCATCATCTGGCGCAAACTTTCCCGCCCACTTTTGATTATCGGGCCCCGTGCGAATTTAACCGTGATATTGACGGTTCCAATGCGTCATCCGGCGTGACTTTTCCCGCCCACTTTCGTTTCTTGGGCCCCGCGCGGATGTATCCGCCATTCGAATGATGGTGGCGCCATTCCGCGAATTTGCACGTGGGCATTGCAATCCTCCGAAACAGCAGGCAATCGCAGGTGTCGCCAACCCTTACAGCCCAAAATGCCCGTCACGCGCCCGGACCACCCGCCCTTGCCAGCGACACAGCCATCTCGTCGTCGTCTCCCCCGCCGTCTACTTTGGTTCTCTCTCTCTCCCTCGTCGCCATGTCCCTCGCCTCGCCATCTCCTTCGCGTCGCAATCGCCCACGTCTCCATTCGCGGTTTTGCTCTCTCTCTCTCTCTCTCTCTCTCTCTCTCTCTGTCTCTCTCTCTCTCTCTCTCTAGCGCTCTCTCTCTTTTTCTCTCTCCTATGTCTCTATATAGCTCTCTCTCTCTATATATAGCTCTCTCTCTCTCTCTCTTTGTCTCTATATAGCTCTCTCTCTCTCTCTCTCTC